GCTATGCTTGACTCGCCAGCTTATGAGAAGATGCACTGGACATCACTGCAGCCAAATGTGTTCACGACTTTCTGGCTTATGCCCGCTGCTGAGCTGATCAAGGCCGTTCGTAACGGCGGAAAGCAACACACCTTACGCACCATGGCGAGCGCTGATGGGCCAGTTGGCGTTATTGACCCCCATGACGTTGGTGTCTTTGCTGCACATCTGCTACTACAGGAAGACACTTCTGCGCATAACAAGCGCAGGTATGTCCTCAATGGCCCGGAGGACATCACAGGCGATGAAGTCGTAGCCATGGTTGAGAAGCATATCGGTACCAAGGTTGAGGATGTCAAGTTCAAGGATCTATCCTTCGTAGACGACATGGTCGCTGCGTCGAACCAGGCAAAGAACGTGATAGGTTCTATCAAGCGTGCTCCGCAATCGGCGTGGAATGGCGAGGCGAAGGCGGAAACGACAAGCAAGGAGGTGCTGGAGATTGCAGCGCCGAAGAGAACGCCTGCTGATGTTATGAAGATGTTGTTGCAGTAAAAGATGTGGCAATTAGACTCCAATGAATTAGCATTACTATTACACTAGTTCAAAATGCTCTCCGCATATCGATCATAGTTGTTGATGACCCTGCAACTTCTCGTAATGCTCGTGACACACAGTTAATCGCTTGCCTTTCCACCAGTCAAGAGCACCAGATGACACTCGGAAGATGCCCCAAACAGTGATGAAGTTGGCTTGTCGTACGACCCTGGACAGTACCCAGAGGTTCAAGTACACGCCCCATATAGTCTTTGTATTGAAGAAGACATTGAAGTTTCCGATCATTTGCATGGCCAGGCGACCATTCGCAGGGGTCGCATTCACCGTGCTGTTGATCGCGTAATTAAAGCATCCGCCGACTAAGTGAAAGGGTAGGCTGTCGAGGAGGAGCACACGTAGGATGTAGTACAACGTTGATGCGAATGATTCTTCAGACTCTTTGTTGTTTGCTTCATTGACAGATCCCAGATGCCAATATACACTTTGATGTCTCGAGACATTAAATGTGCGATCGGCATCAGCAATCCAAGAACGCCACGAAGATTTATCCGATTTCTTGAAGCTCTTGGTAGCGTAGTATTGCCGGTGGTATTCCAGCTCCGAAAGGACGAAGAAGGAAAGCGCAAAGTGCATAACGCGGTGCTGAAGTCCAGTCTCTTCGAAGTTTGGTTCGGCAGTCTTGCCAATAGCGGTCGTGGCTTTGTCGAGGTACAAGAGTATGACTGTAGTGATTACGCAGTATGTCTGGGACGCAGTCATATCGGGTGGGCCGAATCGTGTTCCGAAAGCGACCACAAGGCCGATGTATGGCGCGCTACCCCATATCATGACTGTAGGAGTGGATGTTTGCGCCATGAGGCTGGAGAGGTAGACGGCGCATATGCAAAGCGACACTTGTACAGCGAAGCGACTGGCTGAGACACACTTCCATCTGCGGTCTGCCATGGCTCTGGTAAGTGAAGGCATGGGTAAGAGGTTATCGTGTAGCGTTAGGCCGATGTGTTCTTGAAGCGATGTGGGAGAAAACGTCGGAAAAGATGGAGGCTGACGAAGACTTTGGCGGTACCATGGTAACTTAGCCCCACAGTGCCACAGACTGAAGCAGACCCTTGTGCAAAACTCCCAGGATGTCTCTTTAAGCTTTTCGTATATTGGTCGCATCTAAAATCCAATAGCTGTGAGTGGCTCGCTAGGGGCTGCTACGTACGAGTCATCGTTGGCATTGCAACTCTTGGTACTGCAGTAAAGCAATCTGAATTCCGACATTTCGCACCTTCGACTCTTTATAAAGGTAGTGCTACCCGCATATTTTTGTCGGACTGTGCAGCCATGGCTTCCTTACTGACCCTGCCCCGAGAGCTTCGCGATGAGATCATCGATTTACTGCTACTTACGCATAACCCGCAGCCTGCGGATGTATCCGAATTCGACATTTACGAGGCACCTGAACTCCATCAACCTCCGTCGTCTGCCTTCCCTCGCCCCGTAAAGCACCACGCGGCTGGCCTGTGTCAGGCCTCACGTCAAATCCGTGCCGAGGTTCTCCAGCGCTCATCTTCGCTTCGTGTGGGTTTGCGTTATGCGCTCCGAATCGTTATTCATAGGACGGAAACTCGCAAACATGGTCTACGTCTGGAGCCTCGCCTGCGATGGATTGATACACCCGTTTTCGATGCCATCAAGCTCGACAGAATCGATGTCTTGTTTGAGTTAAACGACTTGGTAGCCTGGGGATGGGTCATGACCTATAGAGATCGTTGGATAGTCGGTCGCCTGTTGGAAGATGCTGTTAGCGCAGTCATGTATAGATCTAAACGCAACGACTGCGAGACCACAATCAAGAAAGTCAACATCCAAGTCACCGCTAAAGAAAGCCCAGCATTTGTGCGCACTGGTGGCCTTAAAGGCGACAATGCCTTGGAGAAGTTGGAAAGAATCCTTTCTGATGGCGGACAACAGTTTGCGAATTTCTGCATAGCAATGGCTATCAGGAGTGACTGCCTCGGAATTGTAAACTTGACGGGATACACGGATACACAAGCTGTGTCATTTGTTTCAGATAGAAGAAACAAATACTGGACGCGAATTGGCAGCATTTCCCTGCAGGCCGGCACTGCGGTGCGCAAGAAGACCTGGTATATCGATCGAAAACTTATGGATCGTATGAAGAACGTCAAAGATCCTAAGTACCACGAGTTCATTGCGGAGGTACTGCTACAGAGAGGTCGTGCTGGCCTGAATCATGAGTCCAAGCTTGCGGAAGATCACTACGAGGATCCGGAATCGGTCATCTTGCAAGGAAGCCTTCATGCACATGCCAGGGGAATCTGGACAGGCGTTTATATCCACAGGGCTTGGCCAGACCAGAGCGATGCGAAAGTGAGGTGCTACAGGACTTTGACTAGAGAGTCGAGACGGGAATGTTTTCGGGAGGAGTGGAAGGCTTGAGGGTGCACTAAAGACACGATCAAGGAGACCGAGATGGCAAAGAAGAGGGAATCGAGAGGCGGCGGGAATGTCATCTCGGGGCTGCGCTGGTGCTGTTGGAGGGTGGGATCGGAGTTGCTGTCGCGTCGCGGACGCGTCGGAAACACTGAATAGTGATGATGTCATAGCGTGCTGCAAACTTGTCCTCATTTCCTCTTTATCCTGTGCCCACGCCCACACCCGCGCATCTCCTCATGCATCGCTCGCCGCCCTAACAAATCGCAGACAGGCCCAAATTGCATATCCAACGGCTGACAACACTGCCATATAGCGACAGGTGATCTTACGAGACGGCTCGATTGCAGACATTTTAATGACTCGTTTGATTCTTATACAGGACCTACTAGGACCGCAAGCCGGTCGACACGACGAACCGAAATGCTTCCGCAAAGCTCCTGGTGTACTAATGGCGCCTCGCTATATCCATCTCCACTGTACCACATGACAGACTTAATGCGCCGCCAATATCTTTACTGCCCGTTTTGTTCTTCACTTGTTTTCGCCCTCAATCCAAACTTTCTTTATCGATGTGTATGAAGCGGCTTGTAGGCCTGATCTGCCGATATCCGTGGATTTACCATGCTTCGCCTGGAAGCACTTACTTTGAGCGCTTCTTGGATGCCCGACCTGCTCCTTCTCCAGCCACTGCTGCAGCCTTCCGAGCGCGTTTTCCGCCTGCCTTCGCATCTTCTTCCTCTCCTCCCTTGTTACCCCCCTTCTGCCTCTTGGGCTCTGACGCAGCAGCTAGTTTCTTCGCTGCGTTCCTTGCCGCGCGAGCCGCGGCTGTGATCTTCTTCTTCTCTGGATCATGGAGATGGCATCGCCAGCTCGCACGATCCTTCTCTTCAATATCTAGACTTCTTCGCTGACAGGCTGTTCCGTCATTGTTGGTGCCTGTACATTTAGCGCGGACATGACCCTGCGCGAAGCCTCCAGGCTCTGATTGTTCTTCCTCATCGGTCGCTCTGGAGTTCATGTCGTCGCCAGCGGCAGATATGTCCTCATCTTCCATCAGTTCTTGGTCTGATGTGTTCGCCGGGTCGTTGACAGGTCCGGATTTGGTCACGGGTTGGGCGCTGATGTCGGTGTCGACGTCTCGTGTGATCTCGGGCTGTGAAGTGTCTCCGTTGAACTCAGGAAACTGCCTGCGAGCAGCGTCTTCGAGGAACGACCAAAGCGCGGGGTACAACTTTGGGTTGTATATGTATGTATCGAAGCCAATTTCCTCGCGTATTTCGCGGTACTCCCGAAGCATGGCCGGTGACACTTTGACGTCGTGGAACTTCTTGTCGAAGGTAGCCTTTATCTTCGTTGCTTGAAGAGCCCACATTACCCATCCAGAGAGCTCGTCCCGCTTGGCGATGAAGGTATTGACGTCTTTTACTACACCGCTTCCTGTGTCTTCTAGAGACTCACTAGTCGCGGCGTCCGGAAGAGCGAAGTACTGACAGTAGCCAATGTACTGAGAAATGTCGTTGATCGAATGGAAGGGTGCAGCAGGTAGGTGCGCGACGGCAAGGAGCAGTTCACTATGCAGTTGGATGTATAGACATTCGTCCCTGCTCCAGTTCCTTAGCGCAACACGCGTGACCATGGGTTCATCGGAAGTGCTGCCATTGTCGGCCATGGCGCGCGATTTTTGACGTCTTACTCTGACTTCGAGGATTGAGAGCCAGTCGCAGGGTGGTTTTGAGGCCAAATATAGACGGGGAGTAGGAGCCGTTAGTATGCGTATCGTCTCTCAAAACAGCGCACTGTCCTACAACGTAAGGGCGATGTTACAATACTGTCAGACAGGCGATAGACTGTATCTTCTATGGGGTACGCATCACAGCAATGGGCGTTGTGCGCTAGTCCGATCAAGGTATAGCGAAACATTTTCTGATCAAATACAGCCATGATTCTGCGATATTCACTCCGCCAAATAGTTGCCTAGCTGCTACTGATACTCTTTCATGTCTTCCGACTACTCTGATTTACCCCTCCTCAGCAGCTCCCTCCTGTGCAGCTCCCTCCTGTGCAGCTCCCTCCTGTGCAGCTCCCTCCTGTGCAGCTCCCTCCTGTACAGCTCCCTCCTGTACATCACCTACATCTCCTCCTGCAGCATCTTCCTGAGCCCTAGCGAATTTAATCCAATAGGTGTCCACGATGGCGTCGTCGTTTGGATTGCCACGACATTCCTCCAGTAAGACAGCATTCGATATGACCAACTTGTCAAACACCTCGACTTCTAAGCGATACCGCAAGGCTGCCGCTCGACTCGCCAATCGAGCCTCGATCATGTAATACTGGTACCTTTCTCTGATACGATCCTCTGTCAACCCACGCTTCATCCACTTGCGTACGTGTGTGTCGCTAACCCAATGGCAGTCTCCGTAATCCCGTCTCATCTCGCACACTAGCTTGTTTGCGTTACGCTTTGGAAGTTGCGCATCATCGAACTGTCGCTGATACTCCGCTCTCACCTGAGCATCAGTCCAGTCATCCTCGGCGAGCCATTCTTTGATCATGTCTTCCGTAATGCTGGGATGTTTACCGATTTGCCTTTTACACATCCGATGTACGGTGCGAGCAAGGGAACGATATTTGATGTTCTCATGGACCATTTCGTGATATTTTATGGTGATACTCCACTCTGTGTCGCCGTTGTCGAGACATTCGCGTGTGAACGCGGTTTCCCATTGTGGTAGGCCGCCGAAGTCCTGCCTTAGTTGTTTTGTTCGCTGCTCAGCTTTGTCGCTCATGGTTGTCGAATGAAGAGCTTCTGGCGACTTAGAATGATCTACTATACGCCGCTTATAAGCTTACTCTTGTTTGCTGTGACTGATCATGCGCGGCTCTTCTGACTGTCCATGTGCAACTATATTCTGATCAATCCACAGACCGCAAGCATTCACATCAGCTAGATGACGACTCCCTGAAAGAAGAGGACTAGTCACGTTACGCCCCCACGACTTTGAAAAGGTGGATTATGTTTCAACGGGAGATTTCATACACATCCTAGCTAACAGTTGATAACCATTGTCCTTGCGCTTCCAGTAGCCCGGGCGTTATAGCGAACTCTTCTATTTGCGTCTCCGTCATTTACATGCGGTATAAAGACTCGCGATAATCATGGCGCAAAGTATCTCAAGATTTCGGAGGTGCCTACAGTAATGTCAGTACGTAAACCCTGCACTATGCGCAAGGTTTCAGCTTACCATGAGTACTTTAGACCAAAGAACACCCTTCTGAACGACCGAAGATGGAGTGGGTTTGGGCTCAGAGGCCGTCAGCGAGGATCGACCGCCAACAGTAAGCGATGCAGTGGGTGGAGAGGGCGGAGGTGCGACGTAAGAGTCGTCGTGGTCGAAGACGTGGAGATCTTGTGGTTTTTGGATGCACGATGCAGGGCAATCGCAGCCAGGCAGTCTACATTGCGAATTAGTCGATGTTGTGACAAGCAATGTTGAAGTGCGCGTGGATTCTGGGTCACACGACAACGTGCGGGATAGTAATGTTATTCTTCGACTTACTGGGTCAGTGACTCTCCAAGTAGAGCCGCTACTTCAACTTCGTGGTTGTGACCATGTGTGCGGTAGTCTTCCTTGCGTTGTTCGTATTCCTTGTTGAGGATGTAGTACCACTTGAACTTGGTACAGCTCTTGATGCATCCAATGAGGTGTACATGAGGAATGTCTTTGATGTATGGGAATGCGAAGGTGAGAATACAGTCTACAGCGGTTCTCTGGCAAGGATATAGCTGAGAGAAGGTAGCATGATTTCTCCATGGTGTCTTGTGTCGGTCCGGTCCATATGGGCTTGGGAAGAACAGCTCGAGGTGTCTGAGGCCTGGAATGCCTTGTAATATGCTTCCGTAAACCCTACCGACGGAGTGCTGGATAACTGGCTGCGTATCGATACCAAAGAACTCGAAGTAATGACTGAGATTAAAGTGAAGATGGATGCGGCTGAGTAGCTTGTACGGAGATGTGGGGCTCGCATGGATGACTTCCTGAAGATTAAAGTGACTCCTGAAATGTTTTCGACTGCCTTGGTAGCCTGCACGCAGAGCCTCGTCGCGGAGTCCCTTGTTTAAGAGGAAGACTGCATAGTTCGGCGCGTCTGGACGAGCAGCAGAATTTGGTTCCTCCGTCGCATTTGGTGTAATCTGTTTAAATCCAAGGCTGACCCTATGCTGGTTCGTGACACGATTGTAGTAGGTGCGGGGATATATATTCTCGCCGAGGGCATGCTGGAAGATGATGAGGCGGATCTCTATCGGTAGAGACATCAGGCGAAAGCTTTTGCCCCGCTTGCTCCACCACAACTGTTGAGCGAGTATGATGCGAGGTATACCTCGATTGTCGGTACCATGAGTAATTTGAGCAGGAATTGGAAGCTCTAGAAGCCAACGCTTGAGCTCAGTCCAAGGCTCTCTGTCAGCTCCTTTGCCCTTCCACTTCTTGCGAATCTGCACGTTATCGGTAGTCAGCGTCGTAGTACCTCGAGCAACGCGGATCTCGGTAGCCATGGGAAGTTCCTCGAACGATTGTGTGAAAGCATACAACTTCACAGCGCCATCAGCGTGTCCAGGCCAGATGGGTAGAGTCTCGTCCAGGTTGTGTGGCCATATTCTTGCTGCTGCAAACAGCATGTGATCTTTGCTTAGTTCGCGGATGGCTTTAATGACCATGCGAATCAGCGCATCGTTCATCTGACGAGGTGGACCATTCAGTGTATAACGATAGTCGCGATGAGAGGTGAACTTCTTGTTCTCTGGGGGTGGGTACATCTTGACCGTGAAATTGCGGCTCGGGTCGCCATCTTGGGCGAGCTTCTTGAGTCGTGTCTGTAGCTCAGGCATGGCTTCGGGGTGACGATGAAGATGCGCTCGGATAGAAGACTCTTCGCTTGGTAAGGGGACTATGGTCTGGCTTCGTTATCTACCCACCGCAATGAGAAGAGGGGTTGGGAGTCGAATGGCGTGTCTGGACGTCCAGCGGTGGTATACCGGTGTGAGAGTAGCAGCCCAAAGGTAGCTGTAAGCCCTTAAAGCACCTGCAAAGGGGAGAGAGAGGACAAGAAAGTACGATCGAGGAGTTGACTATTTGACGAGATCGAAGTAAGCGCCAGGCATCAATTACGAAATAGCTTATATACGAAACCCCGCATTGACCTCCGTGGTCACAATGAAGGTAACGAGCGGCCTAAAGGTACTCTAGGTACGGACAAGCACTACACTACATTAGTGGTCTAGCCGATAAGATAGCGTTCTTCGGGGCAGCATATCGCAGCATGTGATGGTCGACATAATGAAAGCACGCTGCGTTGGAAGTTCCGAGTCTTTGTGATGGTCGACATCGAGACTCGGTTGTGATTGACTGTTCGCACAACCCTCCTCTTTATCACGTAGGCCCTCTCGAAGGATTGTCGTTGGACGACACCTCACAAGTAATAAGTATTTGCGAAAGTATGCTCAGCGTGGGAAATGTGACGCCCATTGTTGTTGTTGACCTCGATCTCGATAGTCCGAGTAGTAAACCATGTAGCAACTAACCCCCGTCCCATAATCCACAGCCTCCCACATCACAGCCCAACTAACGCGTTCTGACGATGTGTAATTTTTCACTTGCGCGATGTTGTTTTGAGCGCCTGTACCGAACGTAACGCGCCGTGTTGGATGTTGTCGATGCAGTCGTGGAGGCCTGCGATTGCTCCACGTGGGTGGTTTTGTGGTAGCGAAGACCACGTCCAGAGTATCGCGACCAAATGCCGATATCGTGGAGAAAGGACAGTCCGTATACTCTGATAACGGGGTCGGCGTAGGCGTGCAATAGGCGTAGTGGTTGTAGGTGTTGCGTGCAGTGTCGGCGATTCAGTAAATACAGAACATTTCCGACACGCTGCCCCTTTCTTCCCATTCTTTATGAACGCGACCCTCGTTGACATCATAAACATAGCATTCTCCCACAAGTATCCAAAGGCCATCGTTCGCAGGTCTAAGGACGAAAGGCAGAGAGGCGCCATGTTCCAGGTCCAAGACCTAGTATTCCTGTACTGGTGATGAAGAGGGTGTTGGGATGCAAATCCAAAAGATGTAGGTGAAAGAATTTGTCTGCGCTTGGTTTGAAGGACGAGACGGAATCTTTTTCATAGCCTAGGCCTGTCGAAGGCCAATACACGTATCAAAGGCCTATACTACTAAATATAGTTATAGTATAGGCCTTTGATAGCTTTTGTTTATTTCGCTTACTTACAATGAGTAGTTGCAACGTACTCTACTATACTACGGGACGTTAGAACCGCTAGAATATAAGGAAAAGAGATCATAGCAATGCAGTATGGAGTGACTGGTATTGCCGAACTTAGTGAGTATGGAGTGACTGGTATTGTCGGAATTAGTGAGGTAGCACGCGCTCGCAATACCCAGCCAATCGAATGCGATTCTAGCGTGTCCCCAGAAGATGGACACTGACGTGTTTACAGCCACCTCCTGAACCACGCATTCTCGCCTGAACCAGGTTGAGGCGCATATACGACGTAGGGCGTCCATCGCAGCAGAATCGTTAACGGGTGGATATTCCCTGCTGACGCTGGTCACCGCGGCACCACGCCACTGATACAGCACATCATGACGTTGCATACCAGTATATCCGAATCGGGTAAAGCCATTTTCCTTGCATACGAATTGGCATATGGCATCAAGTGAATCTTGAACTACTTGATCGTCTTCGTGTTGCAGCCACACGAGCACGCGAACGGCTCCTGAGTAGATGTAGAGCATACGCTGCACCTGCGCGGTCCTCTCCTCGTTATCGGCCTGGTTTATGCAGAGCTCGTCGGCCCAAAGCGTTCTCGTAGTATCGGCGCATCGGAAGCGCTGCAAAGCCTCGAGCAGACTGCGGGTGGTGCTAACGACATGTCCGTTGCAAACGACAGTTTTGCGATCGTTGAGGTCACCCCAAGCATAGGAGATGGCTTCGTAGCGAAGGTCGTCGTCGTCTAAGTGGACGGTCCTCAAAGAGCAAGTCACAGGCTCGTCCCAGGTGCCGGGAGCTAAGTCGATGACTCGAATGGTTCGACCTCGAGGTAATGGGTCGTATTGAAGAGCTTCGTGTATTGTGTGAGGGTTCGAATGCGTCGTCTCAGCCTGGCCGGTATGTTCGGAAAGAATAGAATGCGCCTTTGACTCCGACTGCGGTCTGGTTCTAGGTTGGGCTTGGCCAGTATGTTTGTGTCTCCTAAATCTTGACAGGCGTAGTTTTGTGCCAAGGTCGTGACTCTGCGCGCGCATGCGGTCGAGTAAGCGCTCCATAATAAGGGATTTCGGGGTTTGAAAACCTTGATGCTGCACCTAACAGGTTGAAGACAGCCTATCTGGTACCGTGAAGTCAAGCTGATCGATCAGGCGTGCTGCGCCACCAAAACCCCGCACTCATCCAGCTTCATTGGCTCGCTGACAGACCCTCATATGGGAAGGAACCCCGAACTCATATCAAGGCACCGCTATTCAGCATGACCTCCTCCTTCCTCCGTCGCGCCTCAAGCTTCTTTTCCCTCTGCGCAAGGTATGCCTCCTTCGCTAGCCTTCGCTCCTCTTTCTTGACTTTGTATTCCGCCTGCAATCGTTCATTATCCTGTTCTATTTTCTTCTCCGCCTTGATCGCATGCTTGATCTTCTTGTGTTCGGCCGATGTGATACGCCATGGTCGCGACAGGACTGCCTGCCTGAACGCAGCAGTCTCGACCCAAGCTTGTGCTTCTTCGTTGGTCGTTTTGACGACCGAAATGCGCTGAAGGTCCAGCTGCTTTGAGCCTCTGAACTCTGATATGAGGCATTTGGCCTTGACGACTGTGCCGATGTCTAGGGCTTCGCCGTCCACTACGACGTCGAAGATGCCAAATCGACTGACGATGTGCAAGTTCTTGATCTTTGTGTCCGAGGACGTATCGACGGGGTTCTGCTCGGCGGGAGGTAATCGTACGATCTTCAGCTCGATGGTCGCGCCGCTTCCGTCGTCAATAGTGAGGGCCGTGTATTTGAGGTTGATGTCATCGATGGCTACGACGACGCCGACAATGCGGACATAGCGGATAGGGTGGTTAAGATGGAAGTAGATACGCTGGGCTGTTTACGTGTCAGCAACAGTCGTAACGCTCGTCGGAAATGCTGCTACCTTGGAAGTCCTTTTCAGACCGAAGAGCATGCACATCTGCAGCAGTGAGCTTCACCCATATATTGTATGTAGGTGATGCTCTGAAACAATAGGCGGGGTATAGCCGATAAGGACGCGGTGGCGGATCCGTTGACATATCATATTGTGTTGCTGGTGCATAAGGTGGGATGAGAACAAAGGAACGCGACGCGTCTCATCGCCACTGCTCTACGCTGTCACGTGGCCCGGCACGCCAAGCTGACTAACCCGATCCGAGCGCATCGGAAGATCGGCGCTTTGCGTTCACTATCTGCATGCACCTCACCACGCGATGCCATCCGATGCAGCCGCTCCCAAGAACTGTGGCTTGATCGCATTGCAGGGAACAATCAAGGCCTTCACTCTAGCAAACTGTATCTCTAACCCTCCGCCCCGCTGCCAGCAAATGCATCGTATACAGGATGGGCAGCAAGCATGCTACAAGGTCCACCCGGCCACCTGTAGCCCCATCACACCTCAACACCGCCGTTTTGCCATCATGCCCGACAATGGTCTATCGCAAAAAGCAGCCAAGTGGGACCACTTTACCGCGAACTAGACCTCGGTGCCGTCGAGGCTACCAATAGTGCGACTCCCCACTAAGCCGGCATGAAGCTGTCCATGACGAGCTAGCCCAACCTGCAGCAAGCTTGGAGCTATTCCCAGCTCTCGATTGAGAGCTTCCAAGGTATTCCGGTCAGACTTAAGGGCAGGGTAGCAGCCCGGTATGCGCCCGACGACTGCTGATTTTGATCTCTCATCTTTTCGACGCTGTGCCTTCTCGTCGCATACTAACCCCGCAGCTTTTTCTTCGGTTCCTGGACGTTCGTTGTCGCAGACTTTCGTTGTATCCTGCTTCTTTCTCTGACAGCCTCGGCGACTTTCAACGCGATGAGATCATTTGCGCCATGGAGCCTCGTGGCTGCTACATTGACTTTATGTGTCGCGGAACCGATCGCAAAGCCTGAAGCTATACCGCAGCAGATTTCGAACAATGCGCCATTCTCTGGCGCTGTGTACATTGTAAATCCAGACGGACAGCAAGTCGTAGCGCAAGATGCCAATTTTTGTCCTTCGTCAGCTTCAGTAAGCTGCAGCAATGTCAACCAACCGAGCTGGTAAGTAGGACGTTTGAGAGACGACAGGATTCCTGCTAATCAAACCCAGGTGCTGTCCATCGGGCTACACATGCGCCGTTCCTGGCAACTCGAACGGATTGATCGGCTGCTGCCCAAGCGGAAACCAATGCGGAGGCGCAGTAAACGTCGCACAGGTCACGACCGTGACCGTATACCCCCAGCAGCAAACGGCTGTCGTGTACGCTCAACCACCTCCTCAAACGACCGTATACCACAACCCAGACCAGGTACAAGGCGGCTTCTGCGCTACAATTACGATGGATGGGCCTGATCTACCCAGAGCGGAGCAAGGAGGATGCGGCACAATATTGATCGTTGCGGGAGCACCGAGTCTGCAAGTACTGGGCGTGGGTGCCGGCGCAGTTGCGCTGTTTCTGCATCTAGCGCTCGGCAGGATGTTCAATGGCGCGTTATGAGAGACGATACATGTTGTAATGACCTTACGAATTACGAGTTTACGCGGTACGATATTGTACGCGACGCTAGATTACTCTACCATAACGATAAAACTACTGGTTTCCCCTCTTCGCATCCTCTTCGTCGTTCTTTGGTACACCCACGAATTTGGGCACGGTGACAGCGTTCAAGTGACGGAAAGCCTGTACAAAACATTAGCATGCTACCTAGTTTGAGCAAGACATGTGTGTAACTTACGTTCGCAATACTGCTATCGGGCAACTTGCCATCCCACTTATCTTCCACCTTCTTAATCTTACCCTGCTCATCCAAATGAATAGCAACAACACTCTGAATCAACTGCTCCTTGTTCAATCCCTTGATAACATATCTCGTCCTCAAATCCATGAGTATCGGATTCCCCGCATCCTTAACCTGGTGGTTGAGTCTCTCAATCTCGCTAAACGCACTCTGCAGCCCGTACCATTGCGCGGAGTACTTCTCACGTCCCTCGGCGATGGTGATGGGGTCCGTGAAGGTGGCGTCGTCGCGCCAGAGTTGCAGCTTGGGGAGCGAGGGGCGGCCGGCGAAGAGGTCGAGGACAGAGCCTACGATGGTGTTTTGTTGCTCTGAGAGAGTGACGCCGGGGGCGGTTTGGACGTTTTTGGTCTCGATGTTGAGGTTGGAGGGGTTTGTTGACATTTTGGCGGTTGTGATGCGGGATACCTGGGATGAGAAGGCTCGTTTGGTGAAGGTGCGGAGTGTTTGGTTGTAAGTTTGTGTTGCGAATGGGCGGAGGTAAGATGTCATTGTAAGAAGTCTTGTGAGAGGGTATTGGATGGACAGGTTATTATAGGTAATGTATTCCTGGCTATGTACTGCCCACGAGGCGTTTTGTTATTCTAGGCTTTATCCAATTGCATGATTTTGGCACGCGTCATCATGAGAAAGGTGGTACAAAACGGTCAGGGTTACGCAATTCGCGTGGTGATCGATGGAGGTGATGGCATTTTGGTCGATGCGAATAAGTCATGACGCAATGGTGGTCCTAGGTGAGATTCGCGGGCGATCCCTTCGCGCGTCGGGGGTCGAGGTACGCGAGCCCTTACCTAGGTAGCGGGGTAGGGGCTAGGTCGTCCCGAGAGCCGGTTGTAAACGTAGATGGAACGTTGAACCCTTTGTATATTTTGCTTGATGGTCAAGGACCTATATTGCGGAGGAGATGGTTGATGTGGCAGGTAGCTTGGCATAATCCAAATCGGGTAATTTATCCAAAGCCGTTGATTGCAGGTGCCTGGACTATCACCACGCGCCGTCTGAACTTCCTGACAACCTCGAAATCGTCCGTGCCCCCTCCAAGTGCGCCATCAGTAAAGCCAGCACGCATACACATCAGGTCTCAGAGGGTACAACGCAGCGGAAGCTGGGATCTTTCCTGCTGCTCTCTATCACGAACCGACTTTGGGGTCTTCTAAGCGTCAAGATTACCTAGGTAGCCAACGTCGCCTAGCCCATCACATCAATGGTCTCTCATAGATAAGGACCTCATGCGATATCTATATGGGACGCGACTTCGTTCGCCTGTATACTAAAGCTCCTCTGCGCTTGCCACCGGGATTAATACGTCGGGTCATTGTTGACAGGGATCCTCAGCCGCACAATTGAAGGGATAGGAACCCTGCGTCCCAATTACATTTGGCCCGACAGGTCGTGTAACACTTCGCGAAAGGTAGTTTCTTTCTAGAAAGACTTATGAGATGGGCGACTACCCAGGCGCGCAAAGTCGGTGAGAATGGTATAGGCTGGTGAGGCACCAAAACTGTACGCCAGCGCGCACTTTCATATTCGTTTGTCCTAAATACCCGTTGTTTGCGTCTTATCACAGTCAATTCGCTCACCATATCTCATCCAGCCGTCTCTTCCAGTTAGGATTTCTTCTTCCTTGCAGCGAAGCGAAACATGACGTTACTCCTCAGACGAGCGCCTGACATCGCTGGCAGCTCTTCACCAGCGGCAGCTCTGGAGAATCGACACATCTCGGAACAAATAGGGCAGCAGAATGGCAGAACTAGTGCACTGGTAACACCCATTACCTTGGGTTCGCAAACTTGGAGTGATCAGGCGTCGGGGCAGAGCACCACGTTCGACGACGTGCCAATGACCTCAAACAACGAGAGGACTGCGGACCCTCCAAGACCAGAGCCAGTTACAAAGCGAGAAAGCCGATTCGCGTCTTTGTTCATCGCATTACTGGCCGTCAGCCCTATGGCTATCGAATATGACGCAGCCGATCAGCAGACGATCGAGACGGCACAGAACGCATCTGTAAGCGCGACACAACCGGAATCTCCCAAGAAGACCGATAATCCGACAAAAACCAGAATCAAGAAGTCAAAGATCCGTAGGACCAAATGGAGGCGGTTCAAGTACGAACTGAAACTGAAGATGAGGATTACCGGCAGACGGAAGGCAAAGGATCGATGGAAGTGGACGCAGGCGGAGGATGTAGAGTTGGAGGTCTTGAGATCAGAAGAGCGAAATGTGTATACGGATATGGAAAGGCAGCATAGCAGCTGATGTCAATGCTGTGCAGATTGCGCCTTGAGCGCACCTCTTTGAGCATTGAATTCTATGCATCTTTCATAACATTTCGGAACCAGATCACTACTGTTCATGACCCGCAGTAGCAACACTCAATATCTTCTCTTCCAGCCCTGGAACATGAACGCACTCAATGCCATGTTCCTCTAGCTTCTTCCGTCCTGCATTCTCGCCTACAAATTTCTCTGGCTCTTTGACGCCAAGATACACCTTCTTGATCTTCTGCTCTCCATCTTTGCCTCTCGTTCGAATGAGCCGATCCGCGCATGGAAGATTACCACTAAGCCGAAGATTACAAGGTTCCATGGTAGTGTAGATGACGGTGTTTGATGGTAATGCTTCCCCAACTCTTTCCTCAGGCAAGCCGTGTGCTTGAGCAAGCTTCAAGAGACAACATTGCTCCGCATGCGTGTTTCCTTCACATTCCAGAGTGTAGCCGCGCGAGAGGATGTCCCCGGTATCTGCATCGACTAACAGGGCGCCAACACGGAAATTTGAAGGTTTCGGTGGTGATTCTTGGGCTTGGTCAAGGGCTAGGCGCATGTATTGTAGGTGATCGTTGGGGTCTGGGCCTTGGGCTGGGGGTACCGGGCCGTCCCATGTTCGCACGGGACCTGTATCGTAGTCGACTTGCATGTTGGTGAGGGGGGAAAGTGAAGGTGATGTAATTGGCGTTCTGGCCGGTGGTGACTGGGGAAAAGTGGGTCTGGTGCGCTAGCTCCGTTAAGTCCGGGCTCACGGTCGCGTCGCGTTCTCACGCAGGCGTCGACCGTCAGTAGTCACACAACCTCGATATCCATAACACAACACTACAACATGGCACGAAGACAGAAAAAAGAGCAGTCCCCTGAGGAATCTGCGGAAGATGACTTTGTAAACAACAATGAGAGCGAAGGCGAGAACGACATGGACGAAGAAGATGGCCCGCCTAGCATCGACCCGTATGAGGTTCTTGGACTCGAGACAGAAGCCACTGCCGACGATGTGAAGAAGGCATATCGCAAGATGGCGCTCAAATGCCATCCAGGTCAGTGCCCTTACCACACATTGTGAAGTGCATCGCTGAACCATGACCAGACAAGGCTGCACCCGACGAGAAGGAAGCCGCCAACAAGGCCTTCCAAGAGATCGCATTCGCCTACGCCGTACTCTCCGACGATCGCCGACGCAGGCGCTACGACCTTACTGGCAGCACAGCCGAGACAATGGAGGACGACGATGACTTCAACTGGCTGAAGTTCTACCGCGAGCAGTTTGAGAACGTCGTCAATGAGGAGGCTATCAACAACGTTGCGAACGAATACAAAGGCAGCGAGGAGGAGCGTCGCGATCTGGTCAAGGCGTTCAAGAAGGTCAAGGGTAACCTGAATAAGGTGTATGACCTAGTCATGCTATCCGACATTCTCGAGGACGACGATCGCTTCAGGAAGATCCTAGACGAGGAAATCGAGAACGGCACAGTCACCTCATACCCCGCGTACGAAGCCGAGACAGACGAGACGCGTCAAAAAGCCAAGGACGCCGAAAAGAAGAGACGTGAAGACTTCGACAAGAAGCAGGCCCAGAAAGAAGAGTCGGGAGCCACGAATGGCAAGGCCAAAGCCAAGGCAAAGCCGAAAGGCAAGAAGGGCGGCACAGACGACATGGCAGGCCTAGCAGCTCTAATACAACAACGCCAGAAGTCACGAGCGGGCAACTTCTTCGATTCGCTGGAGGCGAAGTATGCGCCCAAGTCACGAGGCTCAAAGCGTTCGACGCCCATGGAGGAGCCATCAGAAGAGGCCTTTGAGGCCAATCGCAAGAAGCAGAAGAAGAATAGTGGTTCAAAAAAGAAGGCTAAAGAAGAGAGTGAGGATGAGGAGATGGATCTCGACGAGGAGGATATTGGTGACTCTGAGGAGGAGGAAGAAGAGGCACCTGCGCCAAAGAAGTCAAAGGCAAAGCCTAAAGCACGCGCGACACGGGCACGTGGGCGAGCTTAGTACTGCTAACCGTGCCTAAGGTGGACTTTGGAAAGTCTTGCATATGGTGATGATAGGGTGGCGTTCTAGGAATCATATACCACAGCAGTTTGCATAGCACAGCCTCGGGAGCTTTGAATAAAGTCTGCTTCATTGGGTCGTCCTTTGGTATACTCTTTGGCCCTCGCTAATCATATCAACAAGGCTATTTCAGACCATTCCATGTCTTCGTACTCTCGTCATCATCTGAATTACGCGACAGTAGAAAGTCGTGATCCAGTGCAATCGCAAGCTTATGCCGTCTTCCCAGGTCTACGTTTGCCTCCTCCCCCTCGTTTCCATGAACAAGACACTATAGCGTCCGCTCTCTCACCTCGACAAGTGATGGCTACCTTGAGTTGCTGGAAACGACGTCAAGCAAACAGATTATACTGCCTTTGAGACTGTTACGACGTCAAGGCAGCTTCACGTCTTGCTCCTTTGTGGGCATCTGATGTGGGGTTGTCTTACTAGTCCGCACTCACCCTCACGTTCACCACGCGTTTCCACGCTTGATACCACGCTATTCCACCTCGCCTTTCTTGCTCAAACCGTCTTTCGCAAACAACACGCTTATCACGCCAATCTTTTGCGTCCTCTACGCGTCTCACTAAGTTTCTCAATACTCTCTTCGACTACAACACTATCGTGCCTAAAAGATGCCGGGTCTCACTATGCTTATCAACCCAAAGGCACCTACAGCGAGGAAAGTGAGTTGAGCTATTTCAGCATTGGCGACCGTGTGGCAGGATGCTAACAACAACAGAGCCCCATCACCTCAACACCAACCCCCAAAGTCCCCGCGAAGGCTCAGCAGCAGCGCAAAACATCCGTTTCCCAAGCGGTTCCGAAGACGCAGCAGCAGCGCAAGAATTCGAATGCGCAAGCCTCGCCCAAGGTCGTTGTGCAGCAGCAGCGTAAAAGCTCTGCTGTGAAGCCTCCAGCCATGGTGGAGGATAAGAGAAAGATCAAGGCTGAGGTGAGATGGGAATCTGGAATGCTCTCAGAATCAAAGCTGACAATTTTGCAGGGGATTTCACCGACGATGGTTAACCTCCAGGTCAAACCCGTAGGAGCGGACAAGCGTACTGCTCAGCCGGAGACCAGGAATGAGACTCCCCCGAAGAAGCAGAAGATCGAGGAGATGAAGACTGAGGTACGTGATACAGAATACCAAAGCGATTGCATGCTCACACTATCCCAGATCGTGAAAGACGCCACGGTCATGACTCTGTCCCGACCCACTTCCACAGCGCCAGATACGCAGGTCGCACCCGCGCTACAGCCTGCTAACTCCCAATCCACTCAAATGATGAAGAATCTCCTCCGCCACGTCCTCCACGAGCAGCCCTCTCTGCTCCCATTCAATCTGTCCATACCCATAACATCTACTCACATCGACAACATAGCCCACACGATGTGGCAAATCGCCTTCAAACACGTCGTCATGCTCCAACGCGCCTGTCAGTACAGCGCCATGTTCTCGCCCATCAAGCTGGCAGCACTAGCTAAGCTAAACTTCCTGCCTAGCTGGTGGTTCTTCAGGGACTTGGTGGTGGGAGGGTTGCCGGAGTTGATCAAGGGTGTGGATGGGAAGGGGGAAGAGATGGGGAAAGCGGTGGTGATTGATGATAGGGAGATGCAGGGAGCGTGGAATGAGGCTATTAAGTGGTGTGGGAGTGTTGTTGCGAGGAGGGAGCGCGTTGCTACGCCGGTGGTTACGGAGGAGGAGAGGGAGAAGTGGGAGGTTGTGCAGGTGGCGCAGGAGGAGGAACTGATGCTGGACAGCAAAATGGAGGATGCTGGCGAGGATGAAGGGGAAGGGGAGTGAGGCATACGTGACGCTATTCGGTAAAAGTGCAAGCGGTTCATGAAGGAGTTCCTGGGTATGGATGCAGGCGTTTGATAATCGGAAGACAAAACTTAGCCGCCAGCGAACGAGCCGTGACATGCAGGAGAGATGGCAAAGAGCACTCCGTTCAGTAAGCCTCCATTCAAAAAGGTATCAATTTTACACCTGCTTGAACGAAAGACACAAAATTCTACGCCTCGGAAGTCTACATTGCTTCATGACATTATGAACATTTATTCCACACCAATATAGACTGCAGCGCAGCTCTTCCGTCTGCCCCAATACAAGCTCCATACATGACTTCATGCGTGCAGCAACGGCTCCGTCTCACCATCATCGCCGACATCTCCTGCCTTGCAATTCCGCATCACCTCCCAAAGCAATCCCGCTTGTACGCCCGCAAACACCACATAACCAACAGCAAGCCAGCCCGAATAATGATACCACCCACCCCACCACCCCAAAAGCCCATGGTACCACTCCCACCGCGAAGGCATGTCAACGCTTAACCCCCACGCCACACCCACCACAGTAAATACCACCGCCTGCATCGCAAGCCCGACTCTACTCAGCGCCTCCTCTCTCCCCTCCTCTTCTTCCTCATTCTTTTCGGCGCGAAACGCTCTCGCCTGCCAAAAGAACGACGCGATGCCCAAACCGAGTACGATCCAATTGATGCAGAGAATGTGTGCGCCATGCCAAACCCAGGCGAACATGATATGGGTAAACCAGTTTATATCGTTGGCATAGAAGGCATCGACGAAGATGGGGAAGATCAGTATGAAGAAATATGTTGTGTAGACTGTTATGGCGGAGCGGGTTGATACGTCGCGGTAGGAGGAAGGGTAGTGGAGATGTAGGATTGAGCTTTGCAGGCGGAAGTAGTCAGTACTTGTGCTGCTTGAACTGGAGGAGTAGGGGAAATAGAACGAGCGCATACAAGATAAGCCAATACAGCAGTACAACAGCGGTTTGTCCAAGATCGATCCAATTTCCCATGGTTATGGGTTCGCGGTGAAAGCCTTTGTCTTCTCGGATACTATCTATAATGTAGAAGAACGTGAAGGCGAATAGCTCGGTGGCTGAGATGAGGTTAAACAGCAGGTAATTTGTTGAGATGCCTGAACTGTTCTTTCTGCCGGTAGTGCGGTGGAGTTGTGGTATGAAGGAGGCCAGAGTGGATGCTAGGAAGACACTGGATACTGTCAGTATAGTATACCGAGTACTGCGGAATACATACATGCGAAGCCAGTCTGGTAAATTTAAGACCGGCATGTTGCGAAGCTCGAAAAGCTGCTTATGAGTGTCTACTGCAACACCCTAGAGATGCGAGTTAACTTCCTGACAGCCATCCTCTCAGTACTCCTCGTCTTATACAGATACGATGCTGATGCCTAGCACACTTGAGACATCCAGATATGCAACGCTGATCGCGGGGGCGGCACAGTGCATTAGCGCTGCGCACCCCCTTGCTCACCAGCAAAACCTCCGAACCTACCATCAACCTCAATCCTTCTATATACCACATGAACCACGCAATAACTACAACCATGTCACGCCCCATCTACCTCATCGTCTTCAACTCCCCTCTCTTCCCCGCGCACTGGGGCTTCTGGATCCCGCACCCCTCGCCTAACGACCCTCAAACCGGGACCTATCTCAACGCAACCGGCGATGCAGCAAGTGGGTTCAGCATAGAATTCGAACGTAACTACGAACTTGGTGCTGATGGACGGCGGTATCAACTCATTTCCTTGGGTGACGTGTCAGACGAGCACGTCGTTGACGTGACGGGTGATGGGAAGTGGTCCGTTGACCAAGTTGCGAGAGATCGTCTTGAGGAGGTTGTGCTGGGTGTAAAGCCGCCGGGGCCAAGTTTGGTTGCTGCGGATAGTAAGGTGAGTCTTGTGATGCTGAGTTTCGATGTTGAAAGGCTGACGGATGGGATGTGGTAGGTACCAAGAAAGAAAGTGGAGATAAGGAACTGTCAGACTTGGATACGCGATGCGGTTGCAGCGCTGGTGGAAGCAAAAATCATGGAAGAAGAAGCTTTGCGAATAGTAGAAAAAGCGCCGAAGAACTAATTGAGAAAGATCGACGCGGTTCGATTCTACATACTCAACGATCACCACCAACTTTCCCCCGTGCAAGACCCGGCACGTCGAACATACCAAACCCCCCTCCATAAACCTACCAAATCTTCGGCACAAACATCGGCGTCTCCCTCTTCCACTTCTGATAATCCTTGCGATCCCCATACCTCTTATCATACTTATCCTCACTCAACGGCACCCCACTAACCTTCAACAACAAAAAGCTCACAAAAGCCGGACTAGCCGCACACATACCCGCCACAAGCACCTGTCCCCCAACCCCCCCACTCAATCCCAACGCAGCCTGCGCGGGCTGCCTAACCAGCAACCCCGCCGCCGCAATCGCAATCCCACTCCACAGCGTCGCCTCGCCGAAGTAATTCGGATGCCGAGATTTACTCCACAGACCGTGCGTGAGGAACTCTTCAGAGTGTTTCTTTTGCTTTTTGCCTTGGACCCAGGCGTCCTTTTGTCTATCTGCCACGACCTCAAACGTAAGACCGAAGACGAAGATGGCGAAGCCGAGGATGTCTGTTAGGTAGGGTTTTGAAGATACGGCTTGCCCGAGCAGTGATGTTGCGTAAGCAGACCGAGGAACGGAGTTCACCAGGATAACGGGGAGAGTGCAGAGGGAGACCCATGTTGCCTGAGCGAAGAAGGCGACGAGGAATTTGGGTGGGGAGGTCCGGATGGAGTCGAAACGTGAGTCTTTTCCTTCGTCGCTGGATATGCGTTTGTAGAGGTATGAACCCACTATCATGTCATTGTCAGTATTTCATTCTTTCTTCGAGTTGCAGGTTTACGGGCGAACGTACATCTTGTAGCCCAAATCCCCACCGCAGCGCTCAAAAGCGCCTGTCTCCACCACCACGTGCCCTGCCCCAGGCCCTGGGCGCTGAAATACTCGGTTATACCGCCTGTGATGGTTCCTGCAGCTCTTGCGCGCATGTAGGGCAGGACTAAGCTGAGGGCTGTGCAGGACAGGTATGTGAAGCTGCCAGAGAGGTCATAGTACCGTTCTGTCTGCGCCGCGATGGAGGGAACAGCGACGGCAGCTTGAATGCCATATGCGAGCGCAACAGAGGGAACAAGGGTACGTAGAAGCGGGTTCTTGAACGCGGTCGCACGGAGGAGAGTTTGCAGGAGCGTCATATTGTCCCAAAGCTTCGAAATCAGGAATGCGGTTGAAGAAACTTCGGCGCAACCCAACATATACCCTCAATTCGGAAGACGGAGGATCTTCAGGTACTCTTTATGCACCCTCGCTATTCTACCCAACAAACACAATCATCGGCGGTCCATCCGGCGCATACCGTTGTTGCAAAGCGCCTGGCGATCTAGACTCGTAGTCAGGATCGATGCCGTCATTTCTCGCTTACCTCCACTTGCGACTGGGGTCCGACTGTAAGCTTCCGGATAGCGCGCAGGGCTCGGTGCGTTCGGACGCCGGCGGGCTTCGCATTCAGGATACGAGATCTTGCTTACGTGCATAAGGATGCGTGTTGACGTACTGCATTGAGATCTAGATTTACAGGAAACGCATGTATGGCGAGGGATGGTGAGGAAGCCCGAAGGCGTAACGATACACTCGCAATCACTCGCTCCGCCCCAAAACACCATGCAAGCCGCGTAGCTAACCCAGTACCCTGCGATCCCAACACCAACTCAATCCTCATAGACGCGTCAATGCAGAATACTCCAATACACAAATCCTAGTAACACAACAACAAACACCAGCAACACAGCGATACAATTGACACTACACGACAAACCCGAGAAGATGCCGACTCCCACTTTTCCGAAGACTCTATCTCCTGAACGCGGCTTCGACCTCCTTGGTGCCCCAATCAATCTCCACCTCTCCACTATATACATCTTGGTTGACAGTCGTCATGCGCTCTGATACCTTGTTGTATGTCTTCTCGCATTCCTTGAGGACCTTGAAGACGAGGTCGCGGCTGATAGTCGGGTCGTCGGCATCGCCAAAGTGCTTGTCGACGCGCTTCTTGAGGGCTTCAATGCCTTTGCGGAGTTCCTTAGCGTCGTGGGAGTGGACTAGTTTCTTGAAGACTGAGCGCGAATGGGAGGAGCGTTGGGCAATGGCTTGGGCGCTTGCGCCGGGTTGGGAGAGGAGGGTTTCGGTTGATTCGATGAATTCCTGGATCATGTTAGATCTAGTGGTATGAGATGAGGTTGTTTACTTACCAGAAGTTTGCCCAGTGGCCTCCGGATGACGGCGTCGACATACAGACTCATGTGCTCGCTGTATTCGTCTTGAGCCTTGCCCTTCCAGAATTCTAGGACATTGACCGAGCGGGCATCAACCTCCTCCATGTAGTGGTTCATGTTCTCAATAAGCAGAATGTGGTAGTTGAGCGCCTCCTTGTCTTCGGGATCGCCCTGTCCCTGGGAAGCCATGACGGTGGGCGACTCCTTGGCAATGACCTTCAAGCTCTCGAACATGGCCTTGTTGATCCTTTGGTACGCTTCGTCAACCATGTCGCGAATTTCCAACTTGTCTCCGCCTTCTGAAGCAGGCGGCAACATGTTCTCGATCGCGACAGAGAAGTGCGGGAAGGTCTTCATGAATGAGATGACACCCTTGCGCTTCTTGATCTTGACCTTCGTATCTTCAATGGCCCGTATCTGCTCGTCCAAGAAGCGGCTGAACAGTCCTTGCAAACGTTCGTGTATCTTACGCAGGTTCCTTGTCAGGAAGTCCTGATCCGTCTCTGCGATATCGAGCAACTTCCGGTCGACAGCACAAAGAATGCCTACACCTTGCCTAGGAAGGGTCAGTGAGCAAGCAATGTATAACGTAAATATGACTTACAGAGGATCAGCTTTGGTAGCCCAGTCCACAAGGCTCTGGATCTCAGAGGGCCAGAAAGAGAAGATCTCCTCCATGACACCAGTGACATGTTTTGCCATGACTCGGTCCGCCTCGAACTGCTTACGGATCCAGAGGTTGGGTCCACGACGCGCTTCCGGAGGCGCGGCTTGCACGGCCTCGGGGAAGTCAAGCGAGTCAGTTGAAGTAGCATGAAAGAACTCAGTAATAAAGTTCTGCTCCGTCAAAAGAACCGGACCGGTGTCTTCTAGGATCCTAGCGAAGACGTTGAATGCGTGGAATTTGCCGTCTTGAGCCGCTGGCTTTGCCTTGCCATCTTTGTCCCCCGAAGCTGACCTCAGGCCACGAGCTAGGGTCTGACTTCGCTTAACGGTCAGCTTCCTTGCCGTACCTAGTGTAGAGGTAGTTTCCGGTTCTTTCTCCTGTGCGGTAAAGAGCAATTCTTGCTCCTCGCCAGTGGGCTTTCTTGCAAACCGTCTCCAGGCCAGGATATTGTCGCGAACCTCTTGTTGATACACCTGCGCTGCTTGAGTCTGATACATGCGTAGTAGTGAGTCCCATGCTGCCCTGTCAATTTCCTTTGCGAACAGCATGATTGGGCTCAACATCCATAACTCGTTTCGACCTGCGTCATGCGCTTCTACGTTCCTCTTCAGAGATGGCTCAGATCCCTGATCATCGAGTCTCGAAAGTGCATCTTTCGTCGACAAGAAGGCTGCGCCGAACGTGATTTCCATATGTTTCTTGAGCCTCTCGAGGAACATAGATCCCTCATTGAGGTACCTGTCTCGTTTCTCTTGCAGAGCTTGCATCGTTGCCAAATCGCTATTACCAAATCCTGGTCCACTGCTGATCGTGCCTTGTCGAGCTCCGGCGACGAAAGAAGGGTCGATCGTAATGAGTGCTTTGTAAAGCAGAACCAAAGAAGACTCAATATCCTTGAGCCCGTTGATCTTGCCTATAGGAGCGCGTCTCAATGACTCCAGCTGATCTGATGTGATCGAAATAGTGTCGACTAGCTGCTGAAGTTCGTGCTGCAGTAGCCGCTGGTTTGCAGTCTGCACTTGCAGACCCTGACTCTGTGCTTCGATGAAAGCGATATCATCATTCAAGCTGCTCAGCTCAACGTTGTATAGGGTTAACAGACCCTCAAGCTCATCGCACTCGGCGATCGCGCGGTCCAACATGCGCTCAACAGCCTCTACGCGATCGTCCTTCTGCTCCAGGTGATTTAGCCAGCTCCCTGCCTCGACGCGGGCGATTTCACGTTTGATGTCATTCTCCAGAGACTCGATGTGCTTTGCGGACAGCTCGTTGTTTCCCCATCCCAGCTCAGTCAGCAGGCTCTCAAATTCCAGTCCCCGTTCGTCAATGATGTTCGGATCTATACCAAGCTTGGATATGTTGACAATCTGTTGGTTGGACCGGCGCTTCTTTCGGCGCACCTCGGGCTCAGGCTCAATGTTCCTTGACGCTGCTTTTTCTGGAGGTGGCGGAGCAGGCTGTTCCTCCACTTCTTGGACAGCGCCAGCCACAGTGCGATCACCTGGGCCTGAGACTGTAACAGACGGAACCACCTCGGTACTAACGCGCAGTCGCTCTTTAGATGACCTGTCTGGTATGGATTTGGAGGGCTCTTCGAGTTTCTGCTCAACTTCTTCTTTAGGGGTTTCTTTTGGCGTTTCTTTTGGTGTTGGCCGCTGGGGCACAAACACTGCGCTGACGCCGTCTGCTTCATCGGATTGTTTCGTCTCCTTGTTGAAGAGCTTTGCAGCAGCTCCGCCAGCACGTGGCTTGAATGCGCCTGCCGCCGCTGCTGCCTTGCGGAACTTGGTCGCCGCATTATCGTTAAGCAGCGGCTTCTTGACCATTGGCCCAAGTCCAGGGCGTTCTTGATCCTCAGGCATTGAATTGGTGCGTTCTAGCGGTTCTGGCTCAGGCGCTGTTGGTGGTGTTGCAGGCGCCGCTACTTCCTCAGCTTGTGGTGCTGCTGGTATTGGCGCAGTCGGAATTTGTGGAAGGGGTGATGTGGGAGGAGGCGTAGGCTGTGGTGGTCGAGAAGGCAGTGGGTCTGCGGGAGGCGCGATGTTTTCCTGAGAAACGGGCTTCAGTCTCTCGGGTATCTCCTGAGGTCGTCTCCGCGGCGGTACTTCCAGTGGTGGAGCAGGCGAGCCTGAGGGCGTATGAAATGTTGAGCGTGGCTCTGCGCCTTGGCTATCGACACTTCGTTGTGACATCTGTGACGGACGGGGCTCCATGAGTGGCCTTCTCCTTTGAGGTGGTTCTTCTGGCGGCATGTCGTCGTTTCGTGTGAAGTTTGAACTGGTGTTGCTCTGAGCTGTACCTGGTCGACCAGCGCTTTGGGCTGTTCCAGGCCTGAGACCCCTGGGCGACGGATCTCTCCTAGGCGAGGGGTACCCGTTCTGTCTGCGTGGGTCTGGTGGCGCAATACCTGGAGGTGCGCCGTCTAATGATGGTTCGTCAAGGGATCTGTCCGACCGTTGCGATTGCGCATCCTCGCGTGGCGGCCCGCGCCCTGGACTCAAGCTTGCTGGGAAGTTGCCTGAATCCGGTGTCCGTGGCCGACCAGCGAATTCAGAATTCGAAGATTGTGGGGTCAAGTTGCGAGACGCGAACTGCGGTGGGATAGGGCTTTGTCCCTGGCCAGGACGAGGCCGCATACTATCGCCGCTAGGCCGAGAGCGAATGCTTGGGTCCATTGACCGCTTTTGGCGAAGGTCGGGCATAGATGGCGCGACCGAGACTGAATTCGGCATGAATTGCGGAGGCCTACGGGCGTCATCCCCAGTACTCGGTCTACCCAAATCGTCTGGTCGTCCGGGTCTTCTTGGTGGCCCCCCTAGCTCTCCAGGAGGCCTCCGGAAGTTTGGATTTGCCCCAGGTGGAAGCGCTCTCCCGTCAGATATAGGCGGAGATTCGCCAGGTCTTCTCGGTGGTGGTCCAGGTGACTTTGGAGGCATCGGTCTTTGATCTGGTGGCCCGGGTCGCTTCTGGGACGGACTTTGACCACCCTGACCACTGGCTGCGGCAGCTCGGCCTTCTGGTGACGCGAGATGCGGCTGTCCGTTAGTCAGACTGTTCAGCTCTGTCACGCTGAATCCTGTCAGGATAGGAAAGTCGCCTTTAGTGTACTTGTTGTAGATCTTAACCATACTTCCAATAAAGAACTCCTTCTCCTTTGCCGTGCCCGCTTCCCAGTAGTAAGGTTTGCCTATGGTCACAGTGAAGCCTTTTTCCCCAGCCCATAACTTCCGCTGTGCCTCCTCTTCACTGATGGGATTGAGATGGGTGTAGTTCTCGACAGCAGTAAGCTCCTCCATAGGCCAGGACTTTCCAATGGAGAAGGACCCGTTGGCGTTCTCCCTGGCTTTGTGCAGCTTCACCCTGCCTGTGCTTCGCACTGATATCATGATGATGCGCGCCTTCTTGTTCGACGGGGCCGAGCTCGGCGGTGGAGGGGACTGCGGGTAGCCGCCATCTTCTTGGACGCGAATGTGGGTAATATAGGATTCCTGGACTAGGGTCTGTCAGTCGATGCTACAGCACGTAGAGGTGTATGCCAAGCATATATCCCAAGATGCGCGGGCACTGATGTAGACACGTACGCTGGCCCTGGTCATCCGTTTTGGAGAAGCAGCTTTCGGTGATTCTCTTCCGCTCGTCGTCGAATCGCTCTGCGCGCGACATGCCAGAGGGCGTGGAGCTGGAGGCAGAAGGCGCGCCCCTCGAGCTGCCAGGTGGGCGGCCGGCAGGAGCTCGAGGGTCCCCCGCCCCGTTGGTGTAGTTGCGTGGCCTCCCCTCCATTTTGCTGTGCGGCTATCTGCAAGGCCGATGGGGTAGTTGAAGGTGTGGGTGAACGATGCGCCGATTACTGCCGCCGGGCGCTAGCGAGAGGTCCTCCGGGAGCTGCCATGAATCGCGAAAGGTGGTAATGAGTCTTGCGATGGCCGGGCGATGCGACGTCAACGGGTGGAGCGGCGGTGAGGAGCAATCGGGGTGCTCAATGCGGTAGTCCCGGAACAACTGCTGCCAAGTGCGCCGTTCGAGGGAAGAATGTGGGCGGCGAGTGAAAGAGGCAATGGGGTGGTGTGCGGAGAGGGACGTCTGGCGTCGTGTACTCCATATGAAACGGCAGGCGCGCGGGACAGGGATCACGTTTGGGGCTTAGCGCAGCCGGGGCGCTGAACCATTCCGCCTACCGTACTTTTTTTCTTGCGCGACGTCTGCTACCTTTCACGCCTGCACCACCACTCCACCGCCGCAATCCACGAAACACGACACGCACCGCGCAATGGCTACTGGGAAGGCTTCTAAGAAGTCTAGCGGCGACAAGAAGCAGAAGGCTGCATCGACAGAAATTCCGCAGCTTGAGCTAGTAAAGAAGTTCCTCAAGAAGAAGGGCGAGAAGGATGCTGTCACCAAGATTGACGAGGAGTTTGACCAATGGTGTGCGTCGCCCATGAGCGACAACGATTCTGAGGCCAGCGACGATGAGGAAAGCGCGTCCAGCAGCGACTCAAGCAGCGAGTCTGAGGTAGAGGCAAAGCCAAAGAAGGCCAAGAAGACCGCTGGAAAGAAGGCGGCTGCGAAGGACGATGCTTCCAGCTCATCGAGTTCCTCCGACTCTAGCTCCGACTCTAGCTCCGACTCTTCCAGCTCCAGCTCCGATTCCGATTCCGAATCTGAGAAGGAAAGCGCGCCGGCGAAACCCAAAGCGAAGAAGGCCAAATCCGTGTCTTCATCCTCTGCTTCCTCCTCCAGCGACTCGAGCGACTCCGATAGCAGCTCTGAAGAAGAGCCCGCCAACGTCCCGCTTCCTGACTCCGACTCGTCCGATGCCTCCAGCGACTCTTCGTCCAGCGATTCAGATAGCGATTCGTCTAGCGACAGCAGCTCCGACTCAGAAGCCGAGAAGAAGAAGGACACAAAGGCGAAGAAGAGCAAGAAGGCTGCTTCGGTCTCATCTTCGTCTGCCTCGAGCTCCTCGGACTCTTCAGACTCTAGCGACTCTAGCTCCTCCGACAGCGACTCGGACGAAGAGCCAGCCAAGACGAAGAAGGCCAAGAAGAGCGGAAAGAAGGCTGCCACACCCTCATCCTCGAGCGATTCCAGCTCCTCCGACAGCTCTTCGGACAGCTCTTCGGACAGCTCTTCGGACAGCTCTTCGGACAGCTCCTCCGATTCCGACAGCGACGACGAGAAGAAACCCGCAGCGCTCGAGCGCAAGGCCTCTGGCAGCGACTCGTCTCAGACTTTGCCAGCAACATCCCCCGAGCCAAAGAACAACAAGCGCAAGGCCGGCTCTCCTTCACAAGACGCTCCCAAGTCAAAGCGAAGCCACGTCGAGAACCGATTCCAGCGCATCAAGCCCGACGTCGTAGTCGACCCCAACCTCGCAAGCAACGCCTACGTTTCTTACGATTACGCCGACCGCGCGCATGCCAAGTTGATCGTCACCAAGGGCAAGGGCTTCACCAAGGAGAAGAACAAGGGAAAGAGGGGCTCGTACAGGGGTGGCATGATTGACACCTCTGGCGGCAAGGGCTTCAAGTTTGAGGATTGAGCGTCATAACCGGATATAGATGGGAGACGATTCGCAAAGCATTTTCACGAGTAGAAAGAGGATATGCGCCTTGGCGTGTAAGAATAAGGCGAACACGGAGTTATGTATACCAAAAGCAGCATACCCTTAATTGGCGACACTAGTACGAGACTTTGGTCGACTGAGGGTCGGATTACTGTGTTGAAAGTTTGAGTTTATAGATTTGTACAGTTCTAATCGTACATTGCATATGCACATTTCTAGTTCATCCATGTGTGCCAGTCCGTCTCTTAATGTTCTTCATTTCATCCGAGAAGACTCCGGTTTCGTGTCGCGATGTCAGTGATTCCGTATTGCGCCCCTCATCGCTTGTAGACTGTAGCAGCGCGTCATCCTTCCAGTCATCATGCCCTCCAATGTCTGAAATCGCACCTCGCACACTTCCATCTTACTCCAACCAACCAACCCCATCCCTCATCCTCAAGCCTTCTCCCCACCCTCCTCCTCAAACTCCACTGGCAAATTCATACCCACTCTCCTCGCACTCAGCCTAACCCTCTCCTCCTCCGTCATACCCATACCCGGGTTATACCGCTCCAGCAGCGTCGAATGCATCCGTTGCGCCTGCACATATTGTATGAATTGCTCCGCCTGTTGTAATTGACTTTGCGCGTTGGCATTGGGATTCGATTGCGAAAGTGTCGAGCGTATGCGCTGTTGCAGTTTTGAAGGTGCGGAGAGCTTTTGGTGTTGGGTGCGGGTTAATTGGGGGGTGGAGGGGAGTTCGCGGAGGAGGCGCCGGTAGATGGAGAGGATTTGGGGGGTGGCGGGGGGTGCCATTGTGGGTGGTGGAGGTATTTGACTTGATTTGAGAGATTTAATGTATCGGGGAGGTATCGTGGTCTTCAGGATGTGGTGATTTGTCGATGTGGTGTTGGAGAAGTTCACCACACGGAAGTGCTGCGGCGAAAAGATGCGGAAGAGCTTGGACCAGTCGTGAACTTCAGATGCACCACCACTGTTCCTGGGCTGTCTTCTTGTACGAACGTGATGAACAACTTACCGCCAAGCTCGCGATACGTATGCCGCAGCTGCATACAACGGCTGTCGCGCCCGCAGCCTACACACCTCACGCGATCGCAAGTGCGCCTACAGTCCACTGAAGCATCTCAAGATGATGCGCCCAACGCGAAGTTACGGATACAGAAGCACTGGAATGGTGATGGGAAGGCAAAGTTCAGGCCGACTGCGCCAACACGCAGTATACTGCATATGAGCAAGACGGAAAATAAGCTCCGCCTGGAATTGTCGGACGAGCAAAAACCCTCTGCGGAGGACCTTGAACGAGTAGCGAATGAACCGCGACCTCTTACAATGCGCGAGAGACGGCAAACGAACAGAGATGCACCCATGACCACCGCACAAATGCGAGCAATGCGCGAGAGTCGAAGACAAAAGAGGGAATTAGAGATGGAGAAATTAAGAGAAGAAGGGAAAGACATGGAACTAGCGCAGATGAACACACCTCACAAACCTCTCATCAAAAAGCCAAAGAGTGTTGTCATTCGCAAATGGGAGACGAATTTTCCTGCTGGTCGTAAGAAATCGTTCCAGGACGAGTTAATACCCTCTGCGCCATCAGCGCCCTTGGGCAGACGACCAAAATCCGAGACGATAGCAGATTCAGCGCCTGAGACACCAATCACTTCGCTCTCGCTCAATCTCAACAAATTACAAGACTTCAATTGGTACTGGGACACTTTCCCACCAACTGTCGCACAGAAAACGACTGCAAACCACTTCTTCACTACCCACGGTCGGAACGCAAAGTTACTACGGAGCGTAGCTCAATTCCGTCTCTTCCCTGAGTCTGACGTGCCGGAAGTGGCTTTCGTCGGTCGTTCCAACGTCGGCAAGAGTTCTCTGTTGAACGCTGTCGTAAACGCCGATATCAAAGCACTGCTAGCACGTACCTCATCCACGCCCGGCTTCACCAAAACAATGAACCTCTACGGTCTCGGCGCCGGCAACGGCGTGACTATCAAGAAACAAGGGCAAGATCGTGAAAAGATCGTCGGCCTCGGTGGTCTAACCATTGTGGACATGCCCGGTTATGGCGAAGGTTCACTCGCGTCCTGGGGTACGGAGATCATGAAGTACATCACCAACCGCAAGCAACTCCGCCGCGTCTTCCTCTTGATCGACGCTGAACACGGTATCAAAGATAAAGATCGCTCTCTGCTCGCTTCCCTGCGTCTAGCGGGTGTAAGTCACCAAGTCATTCTTTCCAAGCTAGACAAACTATACATTCCCGCTGCCAAAGAGATTAAACGCCATGATGGCAAAGTGCTGCGTCGCTTGTCGCCGAAAGGTAGTCCCGAGGAGCTCAGAAAGGCGATGGAGAAGTTGAAATACGACATCCAGCCGCCGGTCGGAGGCGGTGCGCTAGGAGAGATTCTAGGTGTGAGCGCGGAGACGCTGGTCGAAGGGAAGAGGTTGGGTGTTGATCACGTGCGGTTCGCTGTGCTGAAGGCTGCGGGGTTGGATCAGAAGTTTAGGAAGGAGAGGAAGATGCAAGCGGAGAGAGCTGAGAAAAGGGCACTCGAGTCGGGCGATTTTGAATAAGTCACTGATTTACCCAATACACCGTTCTCCCAACACACGCGAACTTTACAACCTCGCCTTCACCCCCTTTCCTGGTATCTCCGGCAGTCCCCCATCCAAATCCTTCGGTATCAAATGTTCCACATCCCCTAAGTTGAGATACCGCGGATGGCACTGCTCCAACGACGTTATACCCAACAATCTCATCGTCGTTTCCAACTCATCTTTCATGATGTCAATAAAGTGCTCCACACCTTCTTGCCCATACGTCAGCGAATACAAAAAAGGCCGACCCATTCCAACAGCTTTGGCCCCTAGACACAGCGCTTTCACTATGTCGGTTCCGCGCCGGACACCGCAATCGAGGTAGACTTCTAGGCTGGAGAAGACTTCGGGGGCGTGGCGTCGGATTTCGAGGAGGATTAGGAGGGAGGGCGGGGAACTGTTGTTTTTTTGTTAGCAAAACGCTCTATCGTTTTGTGAATTTGAAAAGGGAAGGCGGGGGTGGACATACGTATCCAGATTTCTCCCTCCATGGTTCGTTATTACGATACCATCCAACCCGTATTTGACAGCTAGTACCGCGTCCTCAACTGTCTGCACTCCTTTCGCTACTATGGGTAGTTTAGTTGCTTTCCGCAGCCAGGCAATATCATCCCAGTTAAACGTGTCGTCTATGTATGTGCCCATGGTGCGGCCGAGACCACCGCCTTTCTTGTCGTTTGTGGCGGCCGCGCCGCTGATGGCGGCTTTGGCGAAGGTCGCGGATTCGACTTTTACGCGCTCGTCCCCTTCTGTGGTACGGGGTTAGCATCAGTCTCCGGGTGCTGGGATAGGACATACCTCGTTTCCCCTGCACAGGTCCATCAATGGTAAACCACACGCCCTTAATCCCGTTCTTTTCCGCATCTTTGAGGAGAGCTTCAGATGCTTTCCGGTCTTTGTTGACGTAGAGTTGGAAGAAGAAGGGTATGGAATCTTTCTTCACACTCCCCGTAATCTCCTGCATGGTGAAGGATGCATTTGTTGAGATCTGGCAGCTCGCGTTAGCACATCATCTTTCTCACCTTCTCATCCTTCAGCTCATAAACCAAGGGATGGGTCAACATACACACTGCGCAACCCCCCTCCCCTCACACCCCCTCGCCAACGCCCTCTCTCCCTCTGGATGCGCCAACCTCGCCATCGCAGCCGGACTAACAAAGAACGGCAGTTCCACACTCTGTCCCAGCATCTTCGTTCTCGTATCTACATGCCGGATATTTCTCAATAATCGTGGTCGAAACCATATCCGATCAAACATGCTCTTGTTCGCGTCCCGCGTTACCAGATTCGTGGCGCCGCTGGAGTAAAAGGCCCATGCCTTTTTGCCCAGGACTTTTTCGGCGACGGCCTCGAAGTCGTAGCTATTTATCAAACTACTGAGCAGCGGCTTTGAGGCGATCGATAGGGCGGGCTGGGCGGATTCGGTTGGGGGTGGTTTTAGAAGGTCGTAGGAGGGTGTTGAGGACGAGACTTTGCCGATGCGTTTGCTTGGAGCGAGAGTCTTGGATATCAAAGTGGGTGAGTGGACGGAGTTGTAGGTTAGAGAGGCGTCGAGGCCGGCTTGTTTGGTTATTACTGGGTTGTTGTCAGCGGCGGTTTTCCCAGAAAGATGCTGTCTATAACTGGATGTGTTTTGGTGAGAAACCGCAGAAGGGAACGGCAAGAAAGTCCAGTTCTATCGGTTTCCTTCAAAAACAACACGACTAGAACCAACACGAAGATAAACTTCAGTAGCAGGTACTGAATGCACTCACTCTCATTGCCACCAGGATGACTTGGTATGAAATCTGTTATGTCCCAAACCACATCATCTACCACTATCCAACAGTCCTGTTCACTGGCATGCTTCTTGATCTCTTCCACGGAAACGAGTCTGTCCACCATGTTGTCAAGAGTGCTGCAATAGTTCGCGACAATTGAATCGTACTAAACATGCAGGTAGCTTCGAAACGTATGTATTGTTCGCGAGGCTGTCAATTGGCGCGGTAGCCACCTCGCTAGTCGATCTACCGACGTGACTGCGGAGAAGTGGGTCCGGCGAAACGCCGATGGCTCGCAGGCAGCGACGAGCATCTAACAACCGCAACCGCGGCCGACATCACTAACACTGGCAAGCACCTAATGATTACGGATACAGTGAGCCGTGTGGAGAAGGTGTCGCGAGCAATATGCCTGCATCACAAGGGCATACAGTCGGCCGAAGCACCGCTCCGATGGTTGCAGAGCGCGATCCGTATATGAGTAAAGTTTGTTTGGCAGAGCCGCATGCCATCTCACACTTACCCAGTTCATCAAAATCGCAATGCGCATTCTTATCACAGGCGCCGCCGGCTTCATCGGTCAACTCGTAGCAAAGAAGCTGCTCGACGATGAGAAAGCAGCGCATTCTCTCATCCTCACCGACATCATTGAACCACCCATCCCATCAGATGGGCGATCCTCAACACGAGCACAAGCCATCAAGGCAGACTTATGTTCAGAAGCAGATGCTGTCGTCACTAAAGACATAGAAGCCGTCTATGTCTTCCACGGCATCATGTCCTCAGGCGCAGAAGCCGATTTCGAGCTGGGCATGAGAGCAAACTTCGATGCTACTCGCGCACTGCTCGAATCTATCCGGAAGACGTGTCCAGGGGCCAGAGTAATATACGCGTCAAGTCAGGCAGTGTACAACAACTCTGTCACATTACCCGTCACGGAATCTCAGATGCCGACACCAGAGACAAGCTACGGCGCGGAGAAGATGATGTGCGAGTACCTCATCACTGAGTACACACGACGCGGCTTCATCGACGGCATCTCGCTTCGCTTCCCTACTGTCTCGGTACGGCCGGGCAAGCCCACGGCTGCGGCGAGTTCGTTCATCAGCGGTATGATTCGCGAACCGATGAACGGCATCAAATGTGTTATCCCGCTAGAGGATAAGCAATGGCGACATTGGCTATGCTCTCCCAGGATATTAGTCCAAAATCTCGTCTACGCCGCTACGGACTTCGACATCAATCGCCTCGCCAAGTTTGATCGCTGCCTCAACTTTCCTGGCATCGGCGTCTCGGTGCAGGATATGATGGACTCTCTTGCGAGAGTAGGAGGTAGCGATAAGCTTGAACTGCTTGAGATGAAGGACGAACCTACGTGCAAGAAGATTCTATACTCATGGCCTGCTGAGTTTGACAACACTAAGGCTCTGGACCTTGGCTTCGTGAGAGATACTGGGTTTGACCAGATCGTTCGAGATTATGTGGAGGCTTTCGCACCAAAACAAACTGTGAAGGCAACCGGGCAGGCGAGCCAGAAGGTTGAGAGTGTACATGTCAATACTGTAGAAGTCGCAGCATAATATACCAAATCACGATTCATTCGAAAAATTAACACAGCCGTCCTGCCGCCGTTCCAACACTCTCTTATGACATCCAGATCATTGGGTAGAAATGTTCACGTCTGCAAAAATACATGCCAAAGAATTCTCACATGCGTTTAAATGATCGGTTCACTTTTATCCTACGCAGACTGTCTTGTTCTGCGATAACACCAATATCGCGTGCAGTACAGCTTTACCCACTGTCGGTGACTGAGTGCACATGCTGCCCGTCGGCACGTTCCATCACGACCCTGTTCGGCTATACATGAAGCACCGCGATCGGCGCATCCCCGGTCCTCCCCTCATCTCTCATCCACATCATTGCCAACTCGCTCAGATACCGATAGCTTAGCATGCAAGCAACAGTGCAGTATGTCTCGGCCAAAACGCCGTGGTCCAGAGGCTTGGCTGGTGGCCATGACACCTGCTATGCATGTGCGACTTGCATGGACGACCTTACCCGGCCGGGAGACATAGCTAGATGCGGGAACCCCCGCATCTTATCCCACACTAAGCTAGCCAACGCCAGCAGGTAAGACGACGACGTGACGATATGGATCCGGGGTAGGAGTATAAGACGCTGTTTACCCCAGGTTCGTGGGGTAGCGTTAATCTGACCTTACCCTCAATCGTCACTACCACGAAGTCTTCGTCCAACTCATCACCATGGACGTCGAAAAGCACTCCCTGGAGAAGGATGTAGCATGCGAATATATCGAAGCTACAAACGAATCTCGCAACTCCGTTCCCGAGATCCTGCGCAACCACACACCTGAGCAACTCACCGCCCTTGAGAAGAAGCTCGTGCGAAAGATCGACTTCCGAGCTCTCCCCATCTTGATCGTCCTCTTCTTGCTCAACGTCCTTGATCGGAATGCTATCGCCAACGCACGCCTCGGAGGTCTGGAAGCCACACTAGGCATCGACGATGTGGAGTATCAGACTGCCGTCATGGTGCTTTGGGCTGGTTACATCTCCATGATGATTCCGTCGAACATGCTTCTTTCCATCTTCAAGCCTAGGCTGTATCTGCCTACAGTCGTCATCATTTGGGGCATTGTATCTGGGGCTACAGGATTCGTTCAAAACCACGCCGGTCTAGTCGCCTTGAGATTCCTGGTCGGTGTAACGGAAGCCCCGTATTTCCCCGGATGTATCTTCTTCCTCTCATGCTGGTACACCCGGAAAGAGCTACCAAGTCGTATCGCCACGTTTTACTCCGGATACACACTGTCCTCGGCTTTTGGTGGGTTGATCGCAGCGGGTATTGTCGACGGCATGGAAGGACTTGGTGGCTACCCCTCCTGGCGCTGGATTTTCATTCTTGAGGGGGCTCTGACGATCGTTATGGCCTTTGCTGGATATGCGCTTCTTCCAAACTACCCTTCGAACACCTCTTTCTTGTCGCCCGAAGAGACTGCTATGGCACAGTGGCGACTAGACCGCGAAAACGATGGCGTAGCAGATGAAGTAAACGAATCAGTCTTCGTTGGACTGAAGCAGGCTTTCTCTGATCCGAAAGTGGTATGTATCTCTTCTTTCTTGCCTATTGAGCGTCAATGTCGGAAAGACGTAACCTAGTATGCTTTGCTGACTCTGAATGCACCTCTAGCCACTTCTCGTCTTCATCCAGACATGCGCCGTCGTATCCATGAGCTTCACCTACTTCTTCCCATCCATCGTCCAGACACTCGGCTTCCCCCGCGTCGAGACCCTCTTACTCACAGCACCACCCTATTTCCTGGCCTTCATCTTCTCGGTCGCAAATTCGTGGCACTCTGGACGATCCGGCGAGCATTGCTTCCACATTGTCGCCGCATGCGTCATCTCCGCGGTTGGTCAGATCATCTCCATGTCAACATACCAGACTGGCCCTCGCTACTTCGCCATGTTCCTACAAGCTATGGGATCATTCTCCGCTTTTCAGCTCATCTTGCCTTGGGTTTCCGCAACGGTTGCGCGACCGAAAGCGAAGAGGGCTGTTACACTTGCCCTGGCGACGGCTGTGTCGAATGCGACGAATATTGCGACTGCTTACCTATACCCCGCGTGGAGCGCACCGTAAGTCTTCTCCATATTCCAAATGAACAATCACTAACTCAACAATTTAGCCTTTACCGCATGGGCTGCATTGTCTTAACAGTAGCACTCCTTTGCTGCGCAACGGCGTCACTCATACTACGCTTCTGGCTGCAGAAGCTGAATCGCAAATCCGACCAGGCTGTAGGCTTGGAGGGTGTCGCCAATGGACCCGGCCTTCTTTTCCGCTACACTCTGTAGATAGGCCGTAGGCAGACATCCGGTTCAGAATGTAGCTCCTTCTGGAATGACGATAGCCACTCTTCTGACTAAAGCCGATGTGACACTATCGCGTGATAGATCGAAAACTGATCTCCGACCCTGTCTACCACTTGCGCTAAATGTGTTGCTCTAATGAGTACATCATCCGATAATGGCCACGTGGGCGTGGGATGCGGAAACATCGCCAAGTAGCATCCGTCGTCACTCGTTTCAAACCATGCCATCACCTGTGTCAAGGCATCCTTCGTATACTATTCTCGTTGCTGCTTTCCGGAAACGTTGCTGAATGGTGTTGCATCGACGGAGCAGCTCCCAATCACGCGTTAGCGTAATGATCCTGCGCACGGGCCGCGGGGGAGGAGAGCCGTCTCCTGCCGCGGAACCTCATCTTCCATCCTTCTACTTCATTCTGACACTACTCCATGTTTCAAACATCTCGGTCAAAGCTTGAACAGCACGCGATAGACAGGCTATCTATCGGTGAAATGAAGACGAGGTCGAGTCGACAGCGGTGCTGTTACTCCTGCAGCGTGGGGGCGAGAGCGCGGAGGCTGAACTGGCAGGTGCTTCGCCAAAGCTGTTTCAGCCTTGCATACTCGAAGTACTGCGCCCCAGCCTCCTGATGCTTTCCAGTATACAAAATAAAAAGATCTGTTAGAAGATAGTCGTAAAGAACTACACTCAGCCAGCGTACTTTCTGCTTTACCACAGTCGTTCGTCGCAAACGTGGTGTGAAGCTTTACCCAATACCACCTACTCCCGTACAGCGCACACAGTTAACCCCGAAACGCCATCAAGACATGCAGTCTCCCTCCAAAGGCACTAAAAAGCCCAACTTGACCCGGGAAATATTAGAAGGTGAGGGCATTTACTTCTATGAGCATGTCCACAAGAGGAACTCTTTGCCTAAGTGGCTCCGTCCCATACATTGGGAGATGAGATTTTTGCGCACAAAAGTCCCAAGGAAAAAAAGAAAGAAGTTTGTCGCCGAGCTCGAGACGTTCCAACGTTCAGGTCAAGATGGGGCTATCGCATCGCAATCACTCTGGAGATTGAAACCCAACAGGAATCAATATCTTCGCGAGGAGAGCTTCGACGAAGAAGACAGCCTAGCAGCAGAGACAACAAAAGTACTGGAAAATTGTCGGAAAGTCAAGGAACGGGCGATATATCTTCGTGGGAGGAACGAGAAGGAATCCGCATGGGCGGAGTTCCTAGGATTGAGCTTCTTCAAAACATACATGGAGGTACATGGCACTCCAGACGAGCACAGGTATGCACATTTGTAATGCTTTCAAAGTCTCTTCATTGACTTTTTCTAGCTTTTTGTTTGATCGATGGGAACTGTAAGCAATACGGTGGCGCCTCACAAATCAGGCTAACTTTGATAGGCATGCCGATGTTCATTGGAACGAACGCTTCCCGAGGAATGATTGCGTGATACGAGTGCGTACTGGACCGAAGCCGGACGTGACCTACTCATTCCCTATTCTCGATCCCTCACACAAGATATCAAAATTCCACCGTTTTGACCCTAAAGTCGAAAACTTCACGCTTCCTGTCCTTAGCGAACTCCGGAAGGCATCCGGATGTAGCCTAATCTCGTCACCGACATCTGCATTGGCCAAGTGGGATCCCAGGAAACCAAAACCGATGGGCGCTGCAGACCTAACATGCTTTCCTTGGGCTGTTGTCGAAGTCAAAACCAGCAAATGGAAGCGTGATAAGTCAGAGTTTTGTTACTGTCAAGCTGCGAACGCGTCTGCTGAAGCACTCATGATGAGGGAAAGACTGGCTGAGAGGGTGAACGAGCCAAGTAAGGATGCTCTGGTCATCTTCTCTTTTACATGTGTTGGTCCAAGCGTTCGGTTTTGGCTTACCTCCAGACACCCAGTGAGTATGCGCCTTACCATACAAGCGCCATAAGTAGCTAACATGCGTCAGACCAGCAATAACATCGAGATGCGCTGCATTTGGGCAACGTCATTGGAGCTTACTTGGGGTGTCTTTGCGCTACGTGCTGTGATCGAGAACATGCGCAAATGGGTGCACAACTGGGTGAAACCTGAGATATGCAGATGGATCACTCAAGTCCGCTTGCATCCAAAGCCCTCGACGCTTCTCGCCCCAGACGGCTATGAGGTCGAGCAACGAAGAAGAGCGAAATCTCTCGAGCCACCCCGTGAGAGAATATCTGACATACCCTCTACGTCACGAAAGCCTCCTCGCTCGAAGATTATTCCGCATTTAGCGAGAGAGAATACTGTACCAAGTCGGACTAGCTCTCCCGGTTCGCTGTCTCAACGACTGGATCGATTGAGCATTCGTATCGAAGACTCTGAACGAGACGTTGCTGACGAAAGTGAAAGTGGAAGTGATTGGCAGCGCTATGCAAGTGGCTCCGACGATGAAAGTTACGTAGCAAGCGATGATGCAAGCGGCGACGACGATGGCTACTCCGCGGTGGAAGAAGAGACTTACGACACAAGCGAAGATGAGAACGCGTTCGATGAAGGATACTCTAGTGACGGCTCATAGGTGGAGGCTTTCCGATAGCTACGTTCTTTCTTGGTTCCATCTCTTTACCATATAAACATTTCCTTTATTTGTAATACTCCAGATGAGTTTGCGTAGCCATCATTCTCCTCCTCTCGTGTGTGTAGCGTCGAGTTCTACAGGTGGTCCGGGTATGATATGCACACTCGTCGATCCAGCCTCGACTGGAGCCGACGGTGCTTCCGTCTCAGCCCTCCAATGGCCACTCAAAAAGCGTTTCGATCCGTTCGCATCACCATCCATCTCCGATACCCCAATCTCGCCCGAGGGCTCCTGCTCTGGTTGCTGTGCATCTTGCTTCTGTTGTCGTTGCTGTTTCCGCCTTCGCCATAGGAATAAGAAGAACACGACGCCTAGTATAACGAAAATACCCACCCCAACTCCAATACCAGCTTTGGCACCTGGACTTAAGCCGGAGTTCGTATTTTGTGATGTGATGGGCGGAGACGAAGTCGATGGTCCGGAGTCTGCATCTTGCGAGGTGATGGATGGTAGTGAAGAGGACGCTGCGGAGCCGTCGAATGAAACACCAATCACCGCTGCAATAGAAGATGCATAGTCCCTCGGGAATAGGGCGAGGTCGCTAGACTGCCAGAAGACGACGGTTGGTTTCGCTCGAGCTGTACCTGTTGTCAACACCGTCTTACTGTTCATAGTAGTAGTAAAGCATGGGCTAGAGCTGCAGATCTGCACAGTGGTGTCGATCAGCGTGACGACGGATGTTCCCCCAACCGCAACGTCGTTGGTTGTAGTGGTGGTGAATCGACTAAGTACAGTTGTCGTCTCCGAAAAGGTTTTCTCGCAGAACCAGCCTTCGCGCTCCACAAAACGATAAGACATATCGCTAATTTGCATTTATGTAAGCGCGTGTTCTCGGGGTGGGAGTTATAGACCCTTTGAGAGCACGGGTAGCATACCTGGGACAACAGTATGCTAACCAATAGACATAGTCCAAGCGAATCTCATCTATCTCAGCGGGTTGTTGACTATCCCCACAAACTCCTGGGCTGTACAGCGGCGTGGTCTGCTCCTGCCGATACGGATTGCATTCATAGTAATAGGATTCGGCAACAGCATCAGTATAGTATTGAAAAACAGCCCTTCCGCTGTAGATTGCAGATGAACTGGTGTCGTCGTAGATCCAACGCGTTGAACATTCTCCTGGGGGCGTAAAGACGGTCAATAGTGGGGGCAAATTCGTTGGAGCAGTCTGGTATCTCCAATCAGACTTTGGTATGGTTGAAACAGTCGCCATATCGACGATATCTCGAAGGTAGAATAAGTCAACGCTGTTTACAGGGAAGAATGGGTCTTAAAGAAGTCCGCCAGCGGCACAGAATTTTGATCCAGATGTGGAGAGGTGACGGGCATCGAATTGTGAAGTTGATTGGTAGAGTTGCTACGCCGCATAATGCGGCGTAGTCCTTCGGCGCCGATATGTGCATATCACGCAGCGGCTACAGCGGCATATGTACTTCACACACCCAATACTATGGCAGAGTACCTGCAGCCTTGTTGTATGCAGGATGGGCACACAATCAACAGTGAGCCAGGGAAATGACGGCCATCGCTGGATTGCGACCTTCGTTAGCGCGACAAATTGATCATAGCGTCCCTCTCTTTTCCATATCCTCAACGGTCTCTCTCCCACTGCGTGCTATCCAACTCCACCGGCGACTGCGGCACAACACCTCCCGTCCCAGCTTCGACGGGCACCGATCTTCCATCCGCCTCAGCCCTCCATTTAGTATCCACAGGGTGCATGAACCCTTGGGAGTTTCCATCCATCTCCGCCTCGTTCGGCTGCTGAAGGCGTTTTCTCTGCTGCTTTTTCCTTCGCCTCAAGAACAAGAGGGTAACGATACCGATGATAACAAATAAGCCTATCCCGACGGCTATACCCGCTATAGCGCCAGGACTTAAGCCATCATCTTTTGAGTCCAGAGTTGGATCTTCAGTCGTAGTGTTGCCTCCGAATGTAGTGTCAACCAAGGACGCGAGTGAGGAAGCATACTCGGTAGGAAAGTTCGACAAATCGCTTTCCTCCCAATACACCCCGAAGGGAGTAGCAAAAGCCATACCAGAAGATAACACAGTCGGCCTCTGCAGCGTCGTCTGATCTGCGCAAGTCTGGGAACCCTCTGACCTTGTACAAAACCTCGTTGCTGTGTCAATGCCAGAGACGGTTTGAGTCCTATCCCACTGGTCTATAATTGTCGTCGTGAAATTTGCGAGCGCAGTCCTAGGAGTCGAAAATTCGCCTTCGCAGTCCTGTCCAAGAACTGTCATGGACATTCCCCTGGTGGATACGTGAGCCCGGGTTTAGAGATTCGGATTCAGCCGTGGGCAAACAACCTGTCGCAACACCATCCTCTCCACCTTCGCGAGCTGCCAAAGCGCTGCTCCTCGATACCAGCTATCGTTTGTTGTCTTGTACATATCCCCGGGCTGTAATAAGGCTGATCTACCGGCTGGAGGAAAGGGCGGCAAGACTTGTAGTAGTTCGCTGACAGAAGATTCTGGACGCGCGTTACCACGAGATCACCATTCGCGGATCGCCAAACGAGACTGTTATCTCCACTTCGGATGTTCGTGGTGTTGACCGGATTTTGTATCCATTGAGTCGCGCATCCCGGGCTAGGATCGTATCTAGTCGTCAGAGGGGGAGGATCGCCGGATGGACCTGAACTGCTCCATTGCGCAAGGTCCGTAACAATGGCTATGCTGGATACCACCATGCTTGGTGTTGGTGGGAAGTCGAACGGAGCGTAAGAACAAACGTTTCAGGAGAAAGGGCTTGGGCACACGGGAACTATGAACTCGAAGTCGAGCGCATAGTAGTTGAGACATCGGCGACTTGAAGGTTGCGGGGCGGCCACCAATCTTCCGACATGGCTGACCGGTGGCCCGCCTGCAGCCACCAGATGAACGGCGACCTCTCATAACCAGCCTACTAACACAAGCCAGCCTTGTCAGGCGGAGCGGGCCCTATCAGCGGTGTCGCGCTGTCCCGCCCGAAGCCACAAAGTAACACCTAACAGTCCTGCTGCATCACAAGGCTGGCCCCCACACCGTATCGGAAACCGGTAACAAGCTGCGAGATCATCTCGATCATTGGTCTCGGGAGCGTGGATGCGACTGAACGCCGAACTGGACGCCTTATTCTCTTTACCCACATCATAGAGCAGGCTTACCCAGGTAAAGTCGATGGTAGATGGGAGCACGACAGATGTTAGAGGTTGCGATGCAGGGGGATGAAGATGCGCATTCCGGAAATAGAGTGGATATTGACTAGTGCCAAACAGAAGAGAAGTAGCCAATCAACGAAGCACAGCCGCAATTGCCCAAGATATAGCAGCGTGCAGCAGTGGCTAAGTGATTGCATGAGGCTGATGGATGCTACACTGCCAGGCTGCTGTGTCGAATTTTTTTAACGAGTCCCTCTAGGCTGTGCACCAAGAAAACCTCCAGACGTCGATGATGAGCGCGAAACAAAACCGGGCCCTGTTTGAGTGGAAGATGTATTCTCTCGTTGGCTAGGTGTCGCGTCTGCGGTCTATCGCTTCTCGTTCGTGAAGCGTAGTCGTAAAAGCTTCCGCGCAATCGTTCCCAATCTGTCAACCTGCGTCGCGTGTACGGCATCCCTCCTATCCAACACCTATGTATGCGATTGCGGATCTCTTTCTCTCTGCGTACTATCCAACTCAACAGGCGGCCCTGGAATGATCCTCACGCTCGTTGATCCAGCTTCTACTGGACTAGAGGTACCGTCCGTCTCAGCTCTCCATTTCCCACCCACGAAGCGCTTCAACCCTCTTGAACTTCCTTCCATTTCCGGCACATCTGGGTGTTGTAGAAGTTGTCGTTGCTTTCGTCTTCGCCAAAGGTACAGGAGAATGACGATACTGGATATGACTACTGTGCCAATTCCGATAGCTATTCCGGCAATAGCTCCAGGACTCAGACTGGGGCGTTTATCGTCTGGACCTTTTGAAATGGGAGTGCTGGTTTTCTCTCCAAAAGGAACTTTGATTACTGAAGCGAGGGAGTACGCGTAGTCACTGGGGAACTGGTACAGCTCGCTCGAATGCCAATACACTATGACTGGGCTCGCAGTTGCTGTACCAGTTGTAACTTGAATTGGTTGTCGCCTAAAAACCGTCTCATCAACACGGACATTGCCTCCTTCGAGTCTGCTACAGATCGTTGTCGACAGATCAATGGCGGGGACTGTAAAGTTTCCAGCAGGCTCCCCATAATTCAAACAAGGTCCAAGTTGTGAATTCAATGTAGTTGTAAAAAGTGTAAGTATCGCCATCGGAGTCCTGAAGGTCTTTTCACAATTGTCTGACCCAGACGGAATCGTCATACCACTGCGGCAAACGTTAGCCAGAGAAAGATGCAATCATTTCAAAAGGAGCGATCACCTATCGCAACAGCGTCCCTCCCAGAAAATAGAGCTTTGGAAACGCCGTTCGCTTATTGCAACCATCTTCTGGCCTGCCGTACACATTCCGGGGTTGTACAGCGGTTGGGGCTGGTTAAAAGGACGGCAACCTGCGTAGTAGTCGCTTGCCAGGCCATCGCGGCTCGGTTCGAGCCCGAACTCATCATCTCCGCTGAAAATCTGAGAGCTGCTGCGTATCCATCGAGTTGAACAATTGGAGGGAGATTGAAACCAGGTTGTCAGTGCAGGATATTGAGTTGAAGTCCATGCGAGCCATTCATCCCGGTTTGAGGCGGTGATCGTTGTGACTACGGACATGTTTGCTGTCGGAAACCGAAGGATTGCAGAAACGACGACTTGTCCCAGAGGATATAGAAGATGTAGAAAGATACTATGCGGATAAGAGAGGACCACCAGTACGTTTTAATGCGGGCACCAACGATTCCGACAGCTCACCAGCTAAAACCCAGTTCATGGTATGCAATAGAACCAAGCTTAGTATCATGTCCAACCCATCGGGAATGCCGATATATTTACGGTAGAAGAAGAAGAAATGATCGGCGTTAAAGAGGCGAACTCATGCAGTACCACCCCTCTGGCCTCAGTGATTCGTCCTGTGCTATAGTGCTGACCCCCACATAGCCTTTCGAAGAGGCAGGGCGAAAGTAAGCCAACACCCGACCATAAGGACTATCTCATTCTTTCGATCGTTGCTGCTAAAACAGCGGTTTTCATTAGGGTTGACCGGATTGCGGGTTGCGGTGTTCATTGTGATCAGAAGAAAGAGAAGGAAACCGCACCAAAGCAGCAGACTAGCAGTATACATACTCACAAGATAATTGCAAAGTGAAGATGGTAAGTTGTATTGAAGTCGACATTAACCTTCTGAACCTCGGAGTTCATCCGTTCCACGCACGTCGCCTCCCAATCACATTTAGTTGGGCGCACCAGTACCACGCGGCCTGTGCGCTACAGCGCGATGCCTCTGCGGCTCTTCCCTGTACCTATCAAAAGTCAGCTTCATTCTCACCCAAGCACTTCAATATCAACTTACTTCTTAACAATCCTCTCAATAGAATCCAGCCCCTTCTCCAAAACATCCATCCTAGGTCCATAGCTCAACCTGACAAAGTGATGGCACGGCGAATCGAACAGATCCCTACGGCGACTAGGGTTCAAATCGAAGAAAATGCCGGGAACAACAATG